ATATAAGCCCCTCAGAGTTTCCTTGTCTGATCCTCATGATGTACCTGCAAGTCTCTTTAATAACTGTAACCGCCTCAATGCTTATTCCTGATGTTTTTCAATATGGTTCTTGAGGCTGAGCTGCCGGTCAAGTGTGACTCCAAGGTATGTGGGATGCTCTTCTTTCATCACTTGGTGTTTGTCTAACCTCAGGTTAATATTCTTCCTTGCTACTGGTGGCTTTGGTAAAGATTGTGTAGACCGTCTTTTGCACAGTTAACCTTGAGTTTTCCATCTTTGGCAGTACTCATGCAGTCTTCTAAGGTCTCCATTCAGTCTTTGGGCTCCACTTTCCACATTTTCATGACTCTGCCATATTGCTAGCCTTAAAAGTGGTAAATATTATGAAGAGCCTTATCAACTGGCGTGGGAATGCCTCTCCACAATCTGCAATTTTCAACAGCATGAACCAGTTCGTGTGTTGACAGTCCTCCATGTCATGACAGAAGACTGTCAAGAATCTTTTCTTGCTGTCTTATTCTGTCCCTTTTTCCAAAGATCTTTTCAGTAGTCACATCATGTTTTAGTTTCCTGACTGTCTCCTTTTTGATGCTTTTGTCTAGTACAGATGAATAGTAAAGATATTTGTTTCATCCTCCAATAAAACCAGACATTAAAACCAGTAGCAGCTTCTGAAGGGGGATGATGCAAAAAGTTCCTTCCTGCTCATCTATGGGCAAATAATTGATGATGTTCACAGAGAAAGCTTTCTAATACATGTCTAAAGGGATAACAAATAAATACAATATGACTAGAAAGCTAACTAAGAGAAAGGACACACAGACATAACAGGCGAATGTTTTGGCACAGTCTTTACAAAAATAAAAAACGGTCATACTTAGGCAGAACAGTAAAATATCACAATAGCAAGTAAGTAATCCATATTTCAATGAATAACTTAAATAGAACCCTACATTTAGGAAATTAAAAGTTTAAAAGTGAAATAAGATAGGGTTGTTGATAAATGAACAAAGTGAGAAAAAACTGAAGAAAAACAAATTATTATTCTTTAGCAATCAACACTTGCTATGCATCTATACCAGCAGGGGCCATAAACAGATTGTAGGCTGAATGTTAATTTTAAAATAAAAAGTAAAACAAATGTCTAAGAAAAGCAAATAGAGAATAGATACAGTTTAGGTATCAAATCAATTTGCATGACCAAGACAAAATCACGATCATGAAGTAATATTTGTCAACAAACAGTCACGATTCACCTATAATGTCACCAAACTGTAATGCAGACGACAAATAACCCACCATTTTCTTTAGCTGATGAGTTTTGTGGTTGTGATGCAAAATGGAGCAAACAACATTAAATTCTGTTTTAAATCTGGAAAAGTGTTATAAGAGATCAAATTAAAAATAATGAAATTAGAAAACTAGGACTGAAAATAGTCACTAGAGAGCAACAGATGAGATGGTTTGGTTATCTGACAAGAATCACCAGGTACCAACTGCCGCAGTCAGGTTAAAGAAATATAATCAATAAATCAAGTTGGGTGATGATCACACAAAAGATGGAACAACAGCATCAAGAACAGACTTGAAGAAATGAAAATCAACTATACAACACACTAGAATGAGCACACAGAGGATCCTTACATCTCCCCAACACTTTCAGAAAGTAACTGGAGGAAAAGAAGAAGAAGAAAAAGTGAGTAATGAGTAATTTTAATACAATAAATAAATAAATACAATTTTGTGATATTATTTTTCAGTGAATAATATTGCCAAATTTATTTATGTTAAGAGAATAACATGACTAATTTTATAACTGTGAATAATATTTGTATTTTACCATTATTATGGGTAATTTTATAATTATAAGTAATTTATTTCATACTGAATGATGTAGGGTCTATTATCATAACATGATGAATAAGGAATTAAATGAATCAATATGAGATTTTTAACACACAAATATCACTTTATTGTCAGTTATTTCCCCTCAACTTTTATTCTGTATAGTTCTGCAAAAAGATTTCACTGTGCCAGATTTTTTTTCCTGCATATCTCTGTTCCCCACAGAGTAATTGTTTGCTTATCAAAACAATTTAGTTATAATCTGAGAACATTCCAGTGTCTGTTATTAATATTTAATTGTTGATATGTTTATTACTTAAAGACCCTTTTCGACACCTTTAGACGTACTGGGTAAATAGTGTTAGGCCTAAATTTTATAGACCAATCAGCACTTGGTGGGTGATGTGGTACACCCCACACCTGCCGCCTTTACTACCCAGGAGTTTACCTGGTAACCATTTAAGGTGTGGTTGACCTGAGAGAAAAGGTCATTAAAAAAAATTGTGTTCAGATACAAACCCACAACCTATGGATCTGCAGGGAAGTGTCTAGTCGCTACCCCATGGAAGCTCCCGATGTTTAGTATTATTATCTGTTAAATAGGTTTGAACAAAGTAAGGTATGACAGGAATGTTAGGTGGCCTACAAGGCCGATTCTTAACCCTTTGAAAATAAAAAATGGTTCAAAAGTGTTGCATGAAGCTTTACAGCTCAAGCAATAGCTTCCAGTGATCTGTGAAATACTTGAAGCAGGGGTGGCATCCTTTTTTTCCCCCTGCAGGCCAAATCTAGAATTACCAGGATGGTCGCACGCCAGATACAAAAAAATCCATTATAAACATAACATTCAAATTTTCTTGTAACATAATATTTTTGTGGAATAATCTAAGATCGCAATCCCTCGCTAAAACCTCTGGCCGGACTTCGTCCCCCACTAAAGCTCTACTATATATTCCTAAATGTGTGTGTTTCAGCTAAAGATTTGCACAAATCATATTACTGAGGGAAAGTGGTTCTGCTTATCACTGGTTAGGTTATCACTTTCATGCATGTTGACATCTGGATTTTTTTATTCTGTAAATGGACACACATTTTTTTGTGTTCTGCTATTTTGTGAGCTCTAGGGCCAGATTATATAGTAATTTTACACCAGCCTCACGGGCCAGTAAAAATGTGGTGGGCCAGTTTGGCCCAGGGCCACAGTTTGCCCATCCCTGACTTAAACTAACAAATCAAAGAACAGAGTCCGGAACCACACCAATGACATTCTGAATGTGAGGCAAGTAGCGTTACCACGTCACCATAGAGACTCTCGCATATTTTAAAGAATACAAGGAAAAGTCAAAATGGCTGTAATGTAATGTTTCTTATTCTTATAGTCCATGTAGTGTGGCAGATGGCAGCCATGTCTATCCACAATCTTTTGTCGTGTGTACTTGTAATCAATTCTGACACAGAATGATCTTCTATGCCACGATGTTGAACTGTCCAGCATCTTCTCTCTCTCTCTCTGTCTCCTATTCCCTCCTAATTTACCTCTGTCACAGTGTACTCATTTTCTCCTATTCATGACATGACTAAAGAATGTAGATTGTCTCCTTCTGATGCAGACATAAACAAACTACAGTAAAAAAAATAGCACAATTTTACAACATTCAAGATAACTGCCCAAAAATAAACTCTACAATTGCACTTCTTGAAACGTAACACATTTAACAACACAAGCCTTAGTTTCAGTTCAACCAGGAAATGGTGCTTCAGATTTAAAAGCAACATCTGGGAAATGATACTTCACTTTCTTCTTCTTCTTCTTCGCGTTCACCAGCTGTATACTCTGGCGGAAAGTTATGGTTGCTCGTCCAGTACTGAACTGCAGTCCTGCTCCAGAACCTGAGTGTTGAGTGTGCATCAGTTTTACATATCTCATTCTCTTGAATACAGACTGTTGGTTCCTTGCCTCTCTGGCAGATGCACTCCGACCTCAAAGGAAGCTCCCCAATTAGTCGACTCTAACGACATTCTTTTGGGGAGGCAGTGGGTCCATTCTTGTTTTCCCTACAATAGGACCCCGGAACCCACACGGGGGATACTTCACTTTGAAATTGAACATTTAAAAATTCACACTTGTTTTACATGGGAAATAGTGTTTCAGTGCAAAGTCACAAACAGGGAAAAATTTTCAACTTTATATGATTATACATAAATTTTATTTTAGTTTTACAGTAATACAAAAGAAATTACATTATAGATATAAAGTATTTACATTAACTTATATTCTACTTTTAGCAGCGACTGTGGCATATAAGTGTGTACCTGCACGCACTTACACATAATTTAATTTACCAACATTGTAAAATGAGCACATAATTTATCTATGCCCAACAAGAATAATTTCTAAGGGCTAAGCGTAAGGACTCAATATTTGGGAAAGTGGGGAGGGGGGGAATTATAGATCCACTGCCACTTAACAAGCATGTAGTAACAAGTAATTGATTAACTGCCAAAATTAGATGTTAAGAGCTAAAAGGTGCAGATATCACAGCCTAGCTGTAAACCACAACTTAAAACCCAACCCTCCTTTGGGTGGCAAAAGCAGAAGTATGTGGAGTCAACTGAGAAACCACTTCACTGGTCCGCTGCTAGGTGGAGAGATAGTAACAATTATGATCCCAACACGGAGCAGATGCCGTCAACGCTGTACGAACTGGGCTAGTGGACAATGAGGAATCCCTGACATTAACACGGTTGCGTGACATGGGAGTAAAGTGTGGTGAAGCATGTCTAGGCCGTCTTTGAGGCCGAGATAGGAGACAAAATAACCAGCTTCTAATGGGAACAATTAGTAGTAGTACTTTGGAGTGGCTGCTACATCAGAGGACTGAGCAATGCCTTTGGTCGCATGGGAATGCCCAATGTGCAGTGACGTTGATTGTGATAATATAACATATGATCCTAACAATACTCTTTTATAATTCACCAACTGTAAAATAAACAAAACATATTACTAAAAATCTAATATCAACAATGTCATCCCTGAAACTGCAGGGAATATAAAAGATATCAAAGGTTCATAATTTCATCTGCTATATTAAATTAATTTAAAAATGCAATTGAATTCTGTGTTCTTGGTCTCTACTGATACATCTAATTTGCAGCTATTTAACTGGCAATGCCTTTGGTCGCAAATGTTTCGGCAGAATGCTAATGCTGCTGGACAGATAATCTGCTGCCCAAACTGGCAGCACAGAGTGAAGAAAAATTAGAATTTCGGCTCCAGGTCCACAAGGAAATCGCTCCCGAGGCCGCTTTGAAAGGAGACCGCTGCGAATACATCGAATAACTGGTGTTAAGTCTTTGGGATGTCGCTGAACTGAAGCTTGAATGTGGGTGTAGACTGCTTCGAGGTAATCTTTTCCGTACACCTGCCGACGACAGGCAGGAATATGAGTAAACATTCGGGGAAAAGATAAAACAGGAATTAAACAAATGCAGCACCATGTTACTGAAATTTAAAACACCATTTTCCCTTAGTGAATATAAATTACAAAGGAAAAACAACAACCCCATTCATTGTCATTACCAGAAATCAGAACACTTATCAAAGGAAAATACAAGGTATTGTGGAGAGAACAAACAGTAAACATCCACATCAGCAGACTCAACAGAAAGAAACATACAACAGTTTTCCGTCTACGAACAGGACACTGCAGGCTCAACTACCACATGGATAAAATAAAGATTGTACAGTCCCCACAGTGTGCCTGTCAAACAGGACCACAAACACCTCAGCACATTCTGCAGCCCTCCCACTCTACCTGCAACTTCGAAAAGACACCTGGCCTCAAGAGCAAACTATGGGGAACCATGCAGGACCTGCAGCTGACATGCGAGTTCATAGAGGCAACCCACCTGATTGTCTGATCTGAGAATACGAAACCAAACGCAAAGAAGAAGAAGAAGAATATAAATTCTTCTTCTTCTTCGCATTCACTGGCTGTAAACTCCGGCGGAAAGTTCTGGTTGTTTGTCAACCTCCAGACTGCTGATTTCTTGCCTCTCAGGCACAGCACTGCAACTTCAAAGGAACCCCCCCCCTTTGCCCCCATTACTCAACCCCGATGACATGCTTGCTGGAAGGCAGTGGGTCTATTCTTGTGTTCCCCACAACGGAGCCTGGGAACCCACATGGGGATTTAAATAATTAATTTTATGCGTGGGTTCCTGAGCCCCATTTTGGGAGACAAAAGAATAGGTCTACTGCCCCCCCCCCCCCCACAATAGGCATATCGCAAAAAGCGACTAACTGGGGATCTGCTGAAGTTGTATCTACTGGGCCCAAAGGGGCATATACTGCAGCCTAGCTGTAAACCACCACACAATATACCGACTGATCTAAGGGCAAATGGAGAAGAACTGAAGAATGAAGACAATCACAATATCACCTTTAAATATGACGGTGTTATATTGCGCTATGAGGTGTGGGACTCACAGCCCATGGCGATGGCGAGTGTGACTAGCAAGACCCACCCGTGTTAAAAAGTCTTCCATAATTATAACATAGGATTTCAGGACCACTGTTTTCAACATTTGTGTTTAGTCTGTTTCTTCTCAGATGCTCAGCTCTCATCCTTTCTACAATCATTTCTTCCTTTATTCTCATCCCCTTCCTGGTGTGCCCCCTCCACACAACATGGTCCATGGCATTTTGTTCCCAGGAGTCCACCTCAATACCTGTATCATTCATGTCCTGCCTGCACAAGTCTTTATATTGTATCTAATCAATGTATAATAGAGATATAAGTCACCAAGCAATATAGAAAAGTAGACGAGTCAAGCCAAGAAAACAACTAGCAACCCAAAATTGGCTTAAAGGACAGGCTTCAAATATGAAAACAACTCCAGGGTATCTACCATTAGAGGTAGAGGTATCTGATCACACAGTCAAGAGCAACTAGTGACCAAATGACTTGGTGTTATGTGACCCCAATGAATAATATGCTTAGTAAAGCTAAACATAACTTTTGTGGGTGGAAGTGACCTGGTGGCTAGTATGGTGGTCTACCACATTTGGGGTGGGAAGGGGGGGGGGGGGCTGGACTGCACCAGCCTTATATGAGTACCAGGAACTGTTCTGGAAGGTAAAGGCAGCTGGCATGCTATTGGCCATATCAGAGATAAGTAGCGACTACGGTGTCCAGCAATTGGCGGTCTTTTGGCAATTCCCGTTACCATGGAAACCGTTCGAAACTTGTTTCGGAAATGTCGGCTGGGGTTTCGGGATGGGTCCTAATCTCTCATGAAATTTTGCGATTGGTGTGATTTTCACACACTATAAAAAGCTGAAAACGGCGGGAAGGAACCCGATTAACAGCGCATGTCTACGACAGCCGGACGTCCTCTGTTTTTCTGTTACATCAGTTTGATTGAAAATAGCGATAAGTTTTTCAAGGTTGGCTTTAGGCTTTAACTGTTACTCGTCCTGGTAATGCTAGTTATAATTGAATTCTCCGTCCAATTTTACATTCGTGTATAAAATTTCTTTCTGAACAGTGGCTAGGTAGATGTACAGTGACATTTTTCAGGCAATCGCTGGCTCAGTCAGTCTCTTTGTCTGCCATCTTGTCCAATGCAAACAAAGCCAAAACGATAAGTGCGCAGTTTGGTTGCGCAGAGAAAACTTCTTGTTTCCGGGAGACAAGTTTTAGCAGCTGTTTTTTACATCTCATCTCCACAAAAACCTACATATCGCAGCTCAGAAATGACATACAAGCCTAAATGAGGTACCGTTGGAAAGAGATTGTTTACAGCTATCTAACTGTGCTGGTTTTATTTAAAAATTTGACTAAAGTATCTAGGTACTAGAAAGTACTGGTTAAGAAACATGACAGCCTACGCTTACTGACATGACACACAGTGTCAATGACAGGCACTCAATGGATAATCAACATTATGCTAGCTGCCTTTTCTTCACTGGACATTTTAAAAGTTTTCTGCTATCATTTTGGGATGAGTAGACCTGGGAGCCAACAGAAGTATCTATGTTCCCGATACTAACCTCTTGTGTTGCTGCATCCAATGTTGCCCATACCTCCTCTTTAGTTTTTCTAAGCACGTGTTCTTGTGAGTTACCTTTAAATGCATACACAACCAGGGACATTAAAGCATAACCCACTAGTCTAATACTTTACAGCATTAACAAAAATGTGTTGAATATTGAGGTGAACAGATAAAAATGCACTCATAATGCCTAAACTTTACTATTACCTTGATGACTCAATTGATTTTACAATAAAGGTGATTTAAAAATTCAGTGCTGCATCTCTCACAGGGAAAACTGCAATGAAGATTGCTTAGGACAGGAGGGCATGGAAAGTCCTCTCTGAAGCCTCAAGTGCCACTAGGCATAAAGAGTACCGATGAGGATGAAACATTAGCTTCTTCTTCTTCTTCCATATACACCCTTCAAAAGGAGTGGATGGCACGCTGTGGTGTGGTTAACAGCAAGGTTGTGATATCTGTTCATTTCGGTCACATCTACATTCAACAAACCCCTCTAATTAGTCGCCTTTGATCATGACATTCTTGTTGGGAGAAGGAAAGTAGTGGCAAGTCTGTTCTTTTTCTCTCCTCTAAAAATGAGGCTTCAGAACCCAAATGGGGATAAACAATAGTAAAAACAAAAGAAACAAAACAATGCTTAAAATTCCTTCAAGAGTCTTAAAGTCTGAAGAGGCTAAAACATGCGGACAACTTATTGTTTTTCCTTCCTTTAGTTCTTCCTCAGATTTCCATAGGTCATCCACACAGCCTTTTTCTATCTGTCAATCCACCGGAAAGCTGTCTTTTTGAAAATGTTATGAGGCATTCTGCAAAACTTGTCCAAGCCCTTCGATAACATTTGCAATTTGGTGGAAATTTCTCTCTCAGCAGCTGTTCATTTGTGTTCTTTTGTTGATATGCCTATTAAATTTCATTTGTCTGTTCCTCTGGTTTTGATGGGTGCTCCTGTAACACTTACGCTCACAGTACGATCACACCTGTCAATTTCTGTGCAACATACTGTCCTCAAACCCACATATATGCTAAGTCCAGGCTCTTCACATTTGTCATTTACTCAATGCCCAGCAAGTGCATATCATTTTATGAATCTTCCTTAAGAGGGCGGTTGGCACTTTGTATTCTGGTTTACAGCTGAGCTACAATATAAGTGTTTTTCAGTCTAAAACATTACATTTCGGCAAAACCTCAAACAGTCACCTTTTATAACATGCTTAAGAGATGCAGAAACCCACACAGGGAGTATTTGCATATTATCATGGTACTAATATAAAGACAACAGATCAATGCATTAAGATGGTTATGTTTGGCTGACTTGTCAACTGCACACACTGCTTATATTGACACCTTGTAGTTTACAGTTTAAGTGAACAGTAAACACTAGATAACATATATAAACACTAGCCTCCTGGGAGCTTGCTTCCATGTAGTGAGGCCCAAATGTCCAGAATATATAAATATGGTGTAAACAAGTTGCAGATAAACAGTATTCACTTTGTACAACTTCTTCTTCGGTTAAAACAATTAAAATATTGAGGGAGATGTGAGGATCTTCTGCTTACTTTTTTAAAAATGTGCTGCATTAGTCGATCAATTCTTTCAGGCTATTCTTGATGATGTCATTCCATCTGTGTGTGGCCATAACTCTTGTTTTGTGTTCATTATATATCTTCAGATGGTTCTCTCTGGCAGTTGGTATCAGAACATCATCATCAGATAACTAAACCATCTCTTCTATTGTTATTTAATGAGCTGTATTTTTTTTAAATAACAGATCACAACTATGATCAAGGAATTGGAAATGTACAGGCTGAAAATGAAGAGAAAAAAAAGTTTCATTTTACAACTGGTAACTCACCAGTAAAGAAGCCAGTGGGCTCCACAATACACACATCTACTCCCCACTTCTTCATCTCCAGGCGCAGTGTGTTAGTGTAAGCCACTAAAGCATGCTTGGACATGCTGTAGGCACCATTTCCTTCTAGTGAAACCCGACCTGCAATAGAGAAATCTAGCAGCATTATTATCACCAGAGCTGTCAAGTCTGCTAGAGAAAGAAGAGAGGCTGGTCAAGGTAAACAGAGCAAAGTATCACAGAGGCTGAGATAGAACTGTGATGGGGTCGGCAAAGTAGCCTGTGATAAATGACTATGAATTAACTCTTTCGGTGATATGTGGAATTCAACAATGTACATATTAACATTTGTGTATCTAATTGCAACAATGCTTTGGTCTTAGAGAGCTGAAAACACATCTTTGGGAATTGTGGTGTTTTGTAATAACAGCTGAATAATAAGTGGTAATATAATAGATTAATAAGATAAGAAAAGAAATGTGTATCACTTAATGAGTAGCCAATGAATGTACGGTGAGATCCTTGGTAGTCAAAGAATTGAGAAAAAGTGGCAAGAAATGTATTACTTTCTAAACACTTGACACATGGCTGAAGACAAGTGGAAATATCTATTATCATAACCTGTGACAGCTGACTATGGATGTGCAAAAGCTGACAGAAATATATTACTATAAGTAAAAAGTAAAGGACCCTTTTCCTCGCCTTTAGGCATATATTACTACACTCTGTAGTATACCTTCTGGTAGTGAAAAGCCGGAAAAACAAACATTACCCAGAACTGTACTGGTTGGTCAGAAACATGGACAACCTCCCGATCACCATCTTTGTGAGCTAGATCTTCAACCATTGTACAATCGTTTCTCCAGATACTTTATAATCTTAAAATGATGCACATTTCTGTAAAAATACATGATGTCCCATAGGTTTCCATACACAGGAAAAAAAATATACTGTCAACATCATTGCATGCACAACTACAGCTGTGCTTACACATGTTTTTCAACATTGGAGAACATTCACCGAAATGTGTTTTGAAAAGAAATTCCAAGCACATTATATAAATAAAAATGGTTTTCATTTAAACAAAATGGTTTCCTATGTACAGAAATGCATGGGACAGGTAGCATACAACTGTCATGATACTGTGGTCTTATTAACATTTATCAGATTTCCAAACTGTCAATCAACCAACCTTCTTCTTCTTCTATGTTCACACTTGAAAAGGGCATTCGGCACAATGTGCTATAGATTGTAGCTAAAGTGCAATATTCAAACGTATGGCCCAACACATCTGATTTCAGCAAACACCTTAATTAATCTATTTTTTATAACATTACTTTAGAGGGCTGTGAGTCTATTCACTCCCCCCTCCCCTAATGAGGCCCCAGAACTCATATGGGTGGGGTGGGTGATAAATTATTCAGCCTATATCTCTCTCACTTACCTAGAAGACTTGAAACATTAACAATTCTCCCATGTGCCTTTTTAATAAGTGGAAGTACAGATTTAGTCACTCTTACAGCGCCAAACAAATTGACGTCCATGATTTTCTGTACAATTTTATCTGACGTCATCTCCAGTTCAGCGAAGCACCAGACCCCTGCATTGTTCACCAAACCCCACAAACCTAAACAAAAGGCAACAGGTATAATCACTAACAGGAAATTAAGGTAAATTATATCAAGAGAATTCTATTTTTGTTCCGTTACTTCGCTGAAGTGTTGGAGGGAGATGTAAGGATCTTCTCTGGGCTTTTTCCAATGACCTATTCAAGTTAATAATTTCTTTAAGGCTGATTTTGATTCCACTGTTTCATCTTTTGCATGGTCTTTCATTTACTGTTTTCATTATATTTTTTTTTAGCTCTATGGCAGTTAGTACCAGGGCATTCTTGCCAGATGGCCAAACCATCTCAACTTTTGCAATTGAATAAACTAACTGATTTCAGTACTAGTCTTCTTTTACATAATATCTTCATTTTTAAATGCTACCTCTCCTTCTTACTCAGGCTGCTCTCTCAAAACATCTCTGTTAAAATTTTGTTAGCTCATTGGTAAGGGTCTATGTCTAGCACTAGCAGCATAAAGATGTGCAATAAAGTAGTTATTTGATTTGTTTGGTAACAAAGGAACCCTTCTGGGTGTCAAAAAAGGTTTCAGCTGTCCCAATATCTGAAGACATAAGAGGTCAAATGGTTTAGACATGTGTCAAAGACTGAATGGGATGTCACCAAAGAGTGCCCTGTCACTTAGATTTATGTAAAACATGCCCTTTTGTGATTCAAACTTCCACTTTTTCTTACTTATTTTGTTTCGTAATATAGGCCTTCATATTACATATTTCTCGGTTTCATACGGATCTTGGTTTTGTTTTTAAAGAAGCTTTGTTGTCTTGTAAGCTGAGTTTTCAAGTCGCAGTTTGTGTTGTATTTAGTACTCTATTGACAAAGACTTGTGGTCAAAACGTTCTGTTGTATTTGTGCACGTCTTTTTCATCCCAACCGCTGAGCTTTCCAGCGGCATTTTACCTTGTATTTAACCAATTTTCATGAAGACACAAACAGTATATGGAATCATTATTTGTCTGGCACATCTGTCTCTTTCACATACTATAGAATTTACACCAATATATTACTGAAAAATAAATTCTAAAATACAAAAATCAAATAGTCCATTGCTAGAATGTTTATCTCACCACAGGCGTTTTAGATTAAGCACGTGATCCTTTTGTTTATATAATCTAGGGTTGCTCATCCTTACGCCAACTGCTTAAGCATGTCTTGAAAGATGCTTGAATGTCTAAATATCTGCTCAATGTGCTTGCGATTCCCTTCTCTGTTAGTCGACAGATTATCCTCTTGGCATATCAAACCATTCAGTCCACAAGTGCTCGGATTCCCTCCTTAGTAAATCCGCAGAGGGTAGCGGTTCACAACACCAGCTCTGTGTTAATTTTTAATTCTTTTTTTTCGCTTCCTGCATAGCACTCTTGTCTGGCCACAACCCTCTTAACATCTTGTTCTTTCAGTCTGGCCATGGCTGCAGATTCACAACCAGCACTTAATTCTTGCAATTGTCTTACTTCTAATAAAGCATTCAGAATACCAGCATGGTCCATTGCTCGTCTGCCCTCCACAGTAGTTGTTTTGTACCTGCAAACTTTTTGTTAACCTCTCAAATTGTTAATGCATATCTCTTTTAAAAACTGGAATTCCATTTTGTTATTAGAATGATAGAAGGTTAAGTTAGGGTTCATATTACCTTTAATGATATACAAGTGAAAGACCCCTTTAAGATATGCCAGGTATAAGGAGATAACTCCCTACTTTAATAAGGCTATTCAGTGGGTCATTATGTCAATATTATGGCCACCTTTACATCTCAGGATTCCCTGGTACTCATTTATGGCCAGGTTTACCTGGGAGCTCAAGCCGATAAAAACCCCATCTTATTGGAGAATTCAAACAAATGACCACCAGGCCCGGAAGTAAGCTTGATAGTGTTTATGATAGTAAGTCATAAATCAAGGTCAGTAACACACCAAAACTGTTTCATTATGTCCTTGTAATATTTCTAAGTATTCCCTTTACCACTATGTTTAACACCAACATAGTTTTTAATACTTTAAAATTTAATTGAAAATACAAATTTAAAGAAATTAGTAGTTCTCGGGCTTATTAATAAAACTTGGAGGTCAAGCAAACTTCCAAAGGCATGGAGGAATGCATATATCGTCCCCATTCTTAAAACCAAAAAGCCTCCAGATGACCCCAAAAGCCACCGCCCGATATCCTTAACATCATGCTTGGGCAAAGTTTCAGAAATAATAATAAACAGGTGCTTATATTGGTTCCTAGAGAGTTCTGGTGTTCTATGCCATGAACAGGCAGGCTTCAAAACCAACAGCTGTACAGAAGACCAGCTGTTCAGACTGACATAAAGAATACATGATGGCTTCCAGAATAAGAAACACACAGTGGCCCTCTTTGTGGACCTCCAGCAGGCCTATGACAGAGTATGGAGAAAAGGTCTCCTGATGAAAATGATGAGCATAGGAATACATGGCAGATTGTATAACTGGGTGAAATACTTTCTGATAGAACAATCCAGACTAAGATGCACAACGCAATCTCTTCTAAAGAAGTCTTGGAGGAGGGCTTGCCACAAGGTTCATCATTGAGCTGTACACTGTTCCTAATCTTCATCAATGACCTGCCAGAACAAATCAAGGCTGATGACCTAGCAATATGGCAGAGTCATGAAAATGTGGAAAGTGGAGCCCAAAGACTGAATGGAGACCTTAGAAGACCGCATGAGTACTGCCAAAGATGGAAACTCAAGGTTAACTGTGCAAAGACGGTCTACACAATCTTTACCAAAAACCACCAAGTAGCAAGGAAGAATATTAACCTGAGGTTAGACAAACACCAAGTGATGAAAGAAGAGCATTCCACATACCTTGGAGTCACACTTGACTGGCAGCTCAGCCTCAAGAACCATATTGAAAATGTCAGGAATAAGGCATTGAGCGGTTACAGTTATTAAAGAGACTTGCAGGTACATCATGGGGATCAGTCAAGGAAACTCTGAGGGGCTTAAATCTAGGATATGTTCGCTCTGTGATAGAGTACAACAACTCACTGCTTACAACTTGCTCCAAAACTAACCTAGAGACTCTTGACAGAGTACAAAATAATGCCCTCCGATTAATCTGCGGAGCTATGCAGTCTACACCAACTGCTGCATGTGAAATCCATACAAATGTGGAACCCCTCGGGTTGCGGAGAGAAAAAGCCACTTTCGAAATTTATGAAAGATGCGTTATAAAAAATCGTAACAATCCTAATAGACATCTTGTAGAAAACTGGGAATACAAACAAAGAATAAAGCACAAATTGGTTTTACACTGTGTTAATGAAATTCAGGACAGATACCACCTCCCAGAAAGACGTCAAGGAATTCAGAATGTTGCAAGAAACCTACCACCACATGCTCGCTTTAAAGCCCCAGAAGTCCGAATTAAATTGGTAGGCGAGGAAACCAAACAGTCCGACCCAATCGCTCTTATGAACTCATCACTAAAGACCGCTTATTCTTACCCCCAAGAATGGATACATGTCTATACTGATGGATTAGCATTTAAAGCTACCATTAAAGCAGGTTACGGAATCTACATAGGTTATCCCGATGGATCTGTTGAAGAGATTTTTGATGCATGCGGGAAATTCTGTTCAAATTATAAAGCTGAAATAATTGCACTGGAAACAGCAGTATACCACCTAAAGACTAATGGATGTTTACCCTTCAAAGGTCCAAAATATTATCTTCACAGATTCAATGTCTGCCCTTCAAGCTCTGGAGGACAGTGAACGCTGCAGAACTGAAATAGCCAAGATAATCCTGGATGCTGATCAGCTTATTACCTTATACAACATCAGAATAGTGATGCAGTGGATCCCAGGTCACTCCGGCACACCAGGTAATGACAGAGCTGACAGATTGGCAAAGAAAGGAGCAACACAAGAACAACCACCTACAGCGACAACCCTCCAGACAGCAAAAACACTTATAAGAGCTATAAACAAAGAGACTTGGTTGAATAGATGGGCCATGAGAGACACTGGAAGAGAGGTTAATAGACATATGTCTGGCCCTGATCCTTATGACAGCATTAACCATCTAACAAGAAGGGACCAGGCCACCATCTTCAGACTTGGAACGCAACATACTCCACTCAATGGACACCTAAACAGAATACAGCCACAACACTCCCCAGAGTGCCAGCTATGTAACTACCCCTACGAAACTGTTGAACACCATCTCTTTGAGTGCCCAAAACTCAGTGAGACAAGAAGAACGCTACTCCCTCCGAGACCGGATAAGTGGAACACCTTGTACGGAGGAAAAGAACAGCTTGTGAAAACATGCAAATTCCACTACATGGCATTGGGCCAAAGGGCGAAAGCTCATGCGCCACTGGATCGATAACAACAACAAAGAAATTATATATTCGAAAAAAACTTATATGCTGTAGTTTTTAATTTCAGTATGACGATGGAGGTGATAGCAGCAACAGGCTTTCATGGGGCTGGACTATTATTCTCTGTGTGTGTGCTCTGATTCTAAAAGCATGATCCGGCGGGTCGAGGCAGGATCTGTAACAGAGAGTGGATTGAGTCATTGCAAAATTCCCCTGTGTGTATAGTTACTGTCATCTTTGTCTCAGGGTAGGCAGGTGTAGTTGGCAATGAAAGAGCTGACAGACTGGCCAGTTCTATCTTAGTTGCAGATGGCCAGACTATGGAACACGCCAAGATTGTTAACGCCCTTAGAGACAGGTTGATCCAAGGACTTTGGGAGCAGTGTATCCACATCACTGCTGAAAATGAGAATTGGGAGTAAAGATTAGCCAAGCAAAGCATGAGAGGCACACCGGATATACAAGAGGTCTTGTTAACCGGCAAAAGACTGGCACTATTAACTGCAGCATGCTGATGTAAATGTTGAAAGTGCACTGTGTACACCTTTGGATCTGTCCAGAGTGCTGTGAAGATAACATAACTCAACTCAATTTAATATCTGTATATCCCTTTGTAAACTAAATATATAATTTGTATTTTACTGTCTCTTGCAATAACAATACAACATACCTACCTTCATCCCCCAGCTTATTACTTATGTAAGCTGAAGCAGCTTCGATGTCCTTTGCATCTGTCACATCTAGTTTCAATATTGTTAACCTAAATTATGATAAAGAAGAAAAAAATAACAGCTGTGATCTCTCAGTAACAGTTCTCAGCTTTAACAAGTTTATAAGGTTCATTGTTCCTTTTAAGATAGTTTTTACCGCATGTTGTGCATTCCTACAAGTGCTCTGATCTTCTCCTAAGCATGTTTTTTTAGTGTACAGTGGCTGGAGTCTCTGAGGTGGTCGGGGCTGATGCATATCAGTTTCATATTCGTGCCAACTCACACAGCCGTGCAAAAATGTGCAAGCTGATAGGTTTGCAGGTAAAGCTACCGTGGCTGGTGGATGGGCTATGGCCCATGCCGATATACTGAATGCTCTAGGAGAAATGAGCCGTTTGCAACTACCAAGTGATGACTGGGAATTTGTAATTATGACCAGACTGCATGAACAGTATGTTAAAAGGGGTGTAGCCAGACAAGAACACTATGCAGGAAGCCAAAGAAGAATAAGAAGCCAACACAGAATGGGTGTCATCCACCACAACATGCTGCAGGATTTACTGAGGAGGAGATCTGAGCACTTATGGACTGAATGGTTTGATGTGCAATGAGGATAATCTGTCAGCTAAATAACTAATGTGTCTTAGTATTTTTAAGCTGACGATGCCTGTGCTGCACTGGCTGATGTTGTGACTGTGAGCTTTTGCACAGTTTTCATGTCACCCTGCTTCAACACAAGGCAAATATGATACATCAATGATTGAAAATTGCTTTTAAATTTTAAACAACTAAAACTCTCATGAAGACATTAAGACAATAGCAAAAGAGAAAAATAGATGTAAATAATATTTCTCACTGTGAATGATTAACTGTTTGTCAAAATTAAATCAAAATGTTACATATTTCTGTCATTTGTGACCTTCCTTAGCAGGCACTGGTAAAAATAAAGTTATGTGTCCCTCTGCCTCAAATTCTAACAAAATATATCCTACTAGTGCTGAATCTTATTTCTCATTTAATTAATTGTAAGTGAATGTTGATATTATATGTATCCCTCCATCACTGTTCATTCAGAAGTGTAAAATTGTTTTTAAAAAACTAGATGGATGGGACGAGCAAATAAAGTGAAGGAAGCTGCAGGAGATGCGGTAGCTGCTGTTCGTGAGTCCCAGCCATCTAGTTAAGCCGCACGCAGCGGCATAGGAGATACTCTCGGCAGTGGCGGTAGTCCTCAATTTACATGTGACTGAGGCCCTGTTAGGGTGTGTTTTTGATCGCCATAATATGTGCCTGTTATTTGGAGGATAGCCAATAATTTTTCTGTAGCATTTCAATTAAAAAGCTTTCGTTGTTTCTTCTTCAGACACAGTATGAGTCCATGACTCACAACCAAAGGGTGCCATGAGAAATCTGTGTGATCTCAAAAATGTTTACTGTAACCCACTTAGGTGCTGTTCTAAACAGAGTATTACTCAGCTAAACAAACATGATTCTACTGTGCACACACACACAAGTAACTGACTTATCTGAGCACTTGTTTCGGAGCTCCACGGCTCCAGGCCCCTTATCTTCAAGGCAGCCAGCAAACACCTGCATGCCCATGCTATCCAGTTTTAATGTCAGCGCATGTCCAAACCCACTGTCACAACCTGCAGGAAAAGTTATTTATTAGGGTCTCCTCAAAGTATGACTGAGTTCCGTTCCAATAACAGCTCGTAAGTTAAATTTATATTTTTCATTTAAAATGGTTACAAGGACTGTATATTAAACACAAAAATTCAATCAATGGGCACATAATGATTGTAAAAAAATGTGACAAATATATAAAATGTACTCTTTTGTAAGTACTGTATACAAAAATACCAACTAAAAGTCCTTTTTGTTTAAATCGGATCAATCGTAAAGATCATTTTTTAGAAGAAGGTTTATACAATTTTTTTATTTGAGCTGGACAGAACACAGACTGAGGAAACAAGGTGCAATGCACAAGAAATCATGAGTAAAAAAGAAATTTCCAGAGACCAAATCACATACGGAGAGAGATGAGGGACAAAAATGTGTAACATGGGTAAGACAAGGAAAGGGGGAAACTTGAGATGACTAGGAATAAAATTATTTGATTTGAGGCAGTTCATGGCCTATTCTGCACTAGAAAATAACAGAAGAAAGATAGAGGAAAAGAAGAGAAGCAAAAAAAGATGAAATGAGGGTGAGGAGGAGTAAAAAGAAGAGATGAGAAAGCAAAGGTAAAGGAAAGAAGACAAATTAAATTTTACAATTAGTAATCATCAGTGGGATGTATACCACCCTCTAGTTTTAAAAACAAATTATAACTAGATTTTAATCAAAAGCACACATCAAGATAATCAGCTATCATTCTGAAAAGATAATGCAATCATGCTTTTCTTCCCTTTGCATCTCAAACTAGTTTGAGGTTTTACTTTTACTTGTAACTGCCATAGCTTTTCATTGTTTGTAATATACTATTTCCATTCAATGTCAATTGTGCTGGAAACCCTGTATCTATAATAATGATGTTTCACAATTTTTAATGCTTAACACCCCTGCCTTGTAGTAAACAGCAGTGTCTTAAACAAGTATGAAACTGAACTCTCTTATTTCTCAAAGATGGTTCACATATTTACAGTATTAAATATGCACCCTGGAGAATCAGCCTGGTTCAAACTCTAGTAATTTACATTTTATTTTCCTTCTATTTGTTTTTCAGGATGTTTTTAATGGTATGATTTATTAATGCAATAAATAGTAAATAATTTTAGTCTGTTCTTTGGGACAGAGATGTAGATAGTTTTATCCGATTCGGTTACACAGTACTGTTCAAAATCTTCATGCACAGATAGATTATACAAAACTGATACTGGCTTTTCTTCTGGCAATGTGTTACAAATGACACCGTTCAGGGTAGTCAATGGGATATACTTAATTACGAGATCTTCAGGTGTTTCCCAGACTTGTGGGATTGCTTCTTTAGGCAGACAAATTATCCGTCCCTAATTGATCAAATCTGGCATTCATGACTAGCAGTGTAGGATGTGCACTGACATTATTTTAGTTAAATGAAATAAATGTTCTCCAGTGTAGGTGATATCACAGGTAGTAACCATCATCTATCTATATTTACGAATATTCAATCTTAATGAACTCTTAGCTTCAACTTGGATGACTTTAAAAATCAATTCTATGTCCTTATATCTGTTGTCATAAATATTATTTTGTATTTTTCTGGAACCAACGGTTCCCCTCCTCCTATAGTATTAGTATGGTATATAAGGATATTTCAAAATGCAACTTTTTTTCACAATGTATCAACAATGTATCGAGAATAGATGCCTCCGAAAGCTATTGAATGTTCACTGGTCGGACTTTAGGTCCAATACATCTATAAGACAGGAAACAAAACAAAAATATGTGTCTGATTTTATTAGAAAGCGTCGCTGGAATTACATCGGTCACGTACTCAGAATGGACATACAGAGACTTCCCCACCAAGCCTTCATATGGTCACCAGAGGTAAAAGAAAACAGGGAAGACCAAAAGAAACTCTCCGTAGAACCATCACAAGGGAGAGCTCAACCATAGGTCTCAGTGAACTCAGTCGCACTCAAGACCTACATCAAGTGGCAAAGAACCGACAGACGTGGAAAGCTATGACCTCTGCCCTATGCGCCATCTTTGGCACAAGAGGAATAACTAACTAACTAACTATCAACATTGTATGATTGTTGTACTGTGTACCGTGTACAATAACAATGTAACAACTGTACACACCTGTTATCAGCACGGCTTTGTTCTGTGCTGGCAGATGACTGGCAGGCAATACAGAGTAAATTATCAAACACCCTACTGAAAAAATTACCAATCCACCAGGACCTTTCACCAAAAACTGACAGAGTGGTTCGCCCAGAAACAAAATGATAAGCGACAGGAATGATCTGAAGCCAAAGCGGAATTCATTTGTGAGAAACTTTGTCAACACAGCAGCAGCAAATGCTACTGTAACACTGGAGTATAAAACTGAATAGATAATTAAACCATCTCGGTTTAGTTCGTCTTGAATATCAATCTCCATGGCTGCAGTCTGAATCAGTAGTCAGCAAGACACCAAACGTTTTCGCAAAAATTCAAGTATACTGTTTGTTCACTCCTCCACTTTCACGAGGTCCCTGCTCTCCGCCATAACTAAACAACACTGTAATGCTGTCATAGATTGGGCGACAGATGTTGACAAATAGTAACAGACCATTTCATTGGCTAAGGACAGAGATTTTCTGAACCAACGTCTGGACTTCTGTACATCGGAAACAACATGGCGACCTCCATGAACACCATGAATGTTTTACTGGGCATCAGCTGTTTTGTCTTTGTTTGCGTCTTATTCGCAGCAGGAGTTACGGTAAATCGACTTGTGGTTCACGCTGTTAATGCGCTTTTGGTGTATGCAAACAGAAGTGCCTACGTTTGTTTGATAATTAAATAATATTGAGATAAATAAATATGGTCTCATGATCGGACGCAGTTCACAGTTGTAACTTGTACTGACTGGTCACTGCAATAGATGAAGTAATTGACCAAGTCACAATTCCTCAGCATATAATAAGACTCATTCATTCAGTCCTCTCGCTAGTGGAGACAGACATGCCATATACACCACTTAAATTAACTGCAGTGAAGAGACAAAACGTTAGTTAGTCTGATATCTACATATTATAGAGGTTATACTTATACAATTGAGGGCTCTCTTCCAAATGATGGGTCTGAGTGATGGTATTTAAAAATATACCCTAACAGGGCCTCAGTGACATGTAAAATTGTGAGCTATTTCCGGCAAATATGACAGGTAGACCATCAGCTTTGACATAGATAAGCAATAATGGTCTACCAAAAACTGGCAGCTGTAGAATATTAGAACTGCTGGCTTTCCTCCGAACTTCGTCCCCATATTGTGGCGGCCAAACAAATACCCTAACAGGGCCTCAGTCATGTGTAAAATGTGTTCCTCCAACTAACACATCGCGGAAAAATTAGGATTACTGTCTGTTGACAATTTTGAGAAATGCAACAATACACACAAAAATAGCGACATGGCGTGGAGACCACGTGCTCCGACGCAGGTTAGCGATAGTGTTCTTCTGATTAAACTCACCGCCGAGCATATCCCTGTGCCACGCGTAGCGGCACGGATGGGGGCTAAACTATATGGCTGGGACTCACAAGCAGCAGCCACCGCATCTCCTGCAACTTCCTCCAGTTTATTTGCTCGTGAGTCCCAGCCATCTAGTTTAGGCCCCCATCCGCATGGCGCGTAACGGCGTGGTTGATACTGTCGGCGGTGCGGCATAGTCACAGAAACAGGTCCGCAATTAACATATCACTGAGTATTTGTTTGACCTCGATGATATTGGCAATCCTAGTTTTGCTGCTATTTGTTCCTCGGCAGGCACTCTGTATTTCACACATAACTGAAATATATGTTACTAAGTTAGGGTTAGGGCTAACTCTAACACTCAAACAATTGAAGGGGTATGGATGCAACTCTAACGGAAGCAATGCTATTAAGGCTCTGTTAGGGTATATTTTAAACTCTAGCACTCTGGCCCATCATTTGGATGAGAGCCCAGTTTTGTTTAAAGTTTTTTAGATATCTTGAATATAATTATTATGGATATAAATAGTAAGCCAGAGATCGTCACAATAGCTACTATGTGTGGTGGCTAGTTGTTCTGCAGAGATACAGAGCCGTGTGGTATAAAATCCGGCTTAATGAAGTATACCCTTTTGACTAGAAATCCTTTAATAAACTTTCATGATGTGACCATTGCCACAGTTATGCAGACACCAGGGCTTTTTATTCCCAGAAAAAGAGGCATCAGCACTCACCACAAATTGTCTACTACACACACAAAAAAATGTCATCTATCTAAAGCCCTAAATCTTGTTGACATGCATAAAGAAGTGTGCTCGGAGGCCATATTGTTTTCAGTCAGTCACCTAATCACTCAGCAATGCTCACAAACATGCTATATTTTATGCTTTTAACCACATATCTGAATAAACCAAATGGTCATTCCTAGGCCATCACTCTCGATCAAGCCCAAACCAAGTTTCATGTGTTTTCCCAGCCTCAAATTAAGGAGTTAGGAGAAGAGGTCAGTGAGAATACACAACAGGCCAAAACCAAGTCCATGTTTGACCAGTTGGCATTCCAGTGGCAACCAAGCTGTATGGATCAGTGGAGAACATACGTGCCGCCACAGACTTCAGAAAAGCCCATGGCCTTCTCATCTGAATACCACTGGCAAAGAACACAAAGAAGAAAATTAAATATCAAACATGAAATTTAAAAAAAATTTTAAATAAGATGCTGCAGAATGCAAAAATCCAGGTAAACATCAAGAGACGAGAAACTGAGGATGTACAAAATAATACTTTTACCTCAGCAACAAGAATTATTGGAACCATACCCATCGTTAAATTTATTGAGAAGCAAAGAATGAAATGGTTTGGTCACCTAGTGAGAATGGAACCAACGATGCCAGCATCAAGAGCATACAACATGAAAATCGAGACACAAAGAGGCAGGGGAAGACCAAGAAGAAGATGGATTGAAGGAGTCACGGACAACTTGAGACTCCATAACATCACGGCATATGAAGCGACTGAGCGCGCCCTGGCTCGGTTGACGATCATCTGATAGACTGCAACGCCTAGCGGCACAAGCAGATTTTGACAAAAGAAGAATTGAGAAAATGACATTTTTTTTTTTCAAATGCAGCCTTTTTTATACTCAGTTAATATTGTTTATTGCAATTATAATTTTGTAAAGCTGGCCAATCCTTTTTTTTTTTCTTAAATTGTTTCCATTTTCACAACTTTACTGTACTGCAGTATATGCAATACATCATACATTGCTGAGTCCTGATAGAAAAAACAGTTGGTTTCAGTAATAAATATTTGCAGAAGTAACATTGTCCTAATCACCCATAGTAATTTGGGATTGTTTGTTTTCTTTCTTTCCTTAGTCTGATGAGGAATTTGAAGGTTCAAGAACGCTTACACTAGAGCACAGTTTTAATTCAGGTAGACCTCTTTTTTCCCTGCTGCAATGAGACAGTGCTGACCAGCGCACACAAAAGCATCTCATACAAAGTATAGTAATTGATGCCCCATACTGGGGGGATAAAACAGTAAATAGATCCACTGCTCCCTAGCAAGCATGTCATAAAAGGTGACTAATTAAGGTCTACTTGAAAGCAGATGTCTTGAACTAAAAGATGCTGATTTCACAGCCTAGCTGTAAACTACAAAACATTTTGCTAACCGCTCTTTTAAGGGCCAACACAGAAGAAGTAGCTACCAGAGCCAGACATGGCAACTCAAAACCAATCAGAAATGACAGCAACCATGAACATGAGAAAACTGAGAAAGGCTACAAGAGTGAGATAAAGAGATAAAATAAGGCCATCAAAGAGAAATATCAGTATGGAACTATTACTAAACTACACACAGGGACAACAAATAATATGTTTTGCCAATTTAGAGACAATACCTTGTGATGTCGAACCGTACAAGGCGTGTACCGAAAGAGGAAAGTGACATTGAACTTGGGTTAAACCAAAAACGACTAGAAGGATATCAACAGGAAATAAATAGTATCAAATGTCTACTGTTTTGGCGTCCAGAATGATCATTGTATCTGCTGTATACAATAATGTTGGATGTAGATTATCATGCAGCTGGTATTGATACAGTTGAGAGGATCCTCTTCTTCTTCTACTGCTTCTTCTTATTCCTCTTCTTCTTCTTCATCTTCTTCTTCTTCATCGGCTGTAAACTCCAGCAAAAAGTTTTGGTGTTTCTTTTTTTCCACCTCGAGACTCAAGTCGTGTTCCAGAACCAAAGTGTTGCATGCACATCTGTTTTACAGATCTGGCTTATTTGTATGCAGACTATTGGTTAGTTGTCTCTGAGGCAGACATGCTCCAACTTCAAAGGAAGCCCCAAATTAGTCGACTCATATGGGGGTAAGGGAGTGGGGGTTGTTCTCATCCCTCTCCTTCCCCCCCCCCCCCCCCACACCCTACATTGAGACCCTGAACCCATACGAGGAGACAAAAGCATTGACTTCATTGCATCAGGTTTCATCCCATATAGCTTGGACTCTCTCTGCAGAACGGCTAGCTGCCTGCCAAGAGCATCCCACAAATCACAAACTCTGTATCTCCCAGTGACCTTCCACATGTGTCTCCATAACTGCTGCACTTGTGAACCGAACAAGACAGTCGTGAAATAATCTTCAGAGCATAAGGCCGACGGCTTGACCACTTTACCACAGAGACTCCTAACTAGTATTGTTTACTGTATGAACACTTTGTTTTTGTCTTGGGTTCAAAACCACACCAGCGCTGATATTTATCAAATGACCTTGACTGCCAAGTGGACCCAGCCTGAATTGGGTACCAGGTAATCTTCTTGGAAGTAAAGGTGGCCAGCATGATGACCACATCACCTGTCAAGTGCTAAAAGGTTATAAATAATGTGGGTCTGGGATCGGGTGGTTTCAGGGGAGGTGAACAAATGGGAGAAAGGTCTTAGCAACCACTGGTTTATGCGGTTGTGAGACAGAGATGTTGATGTTGTATCGGGCAAATTCTGAGAGAAGAAGAGTGGAGAATCGCTGGGCAGGAACTCAGGTGAGAAAATTGAGAGAAACCCTGAGGTGAACGCTGAGGGAAGCCAGGAGGCGTTGCACTGGATTCTATCCATGATACCGAGGTGATTGTACAGGATACAACAGAATGGAGAAGTAGACTGCAAGTTCTGTGTGACATATGATGGGACAATGAATTAAGATCTGTCACCACATACCTGATTCACTAATAGTGTGGACAGTTTCCTTAACTTTTACTTTTTTCTTCAATGACCAGGATCACAATTTACTAAACGTGGCATTATAAGTGTTCAGTCTTTGAAGGGAAGCAAGGCCTCCTTCACCTCAGCCTCTGCATTGTCTAAGGATGAAATCCAGCAGTTGAAGGTATCATTGTTTACCTTTCTTTGTTCATTATATCTTGTTATACATTATTTATTTTTATAGTCCTGTTTATACACATTAGGCAAGAAGCCACGACACTTATTAAAAGAAAGTGCAGTGGCTCATTATTACAGATTGCAGGTAGTTAATTGCACACAAGGTCCCCTTCTGGTCTTCATAGTGGCCTGCAGCCCAGTCATGTGAAATTCACTGACAGGGAGAATGAAAACAAGGAGATACAGCCAGGAGTCACTGAAATTGTGCCAAGTGGTGAAAACATTGACGGATTGAATAGTAGTGCAGGTCAAGGTAAAGTCAGGAGATGTGAACCAGTGACATTGCACACGGTTATAAACCATAAGTGCTCTGCCACCGGTACGGATAGCTGATCCTTCTTGTTGTTATCGATCCAGCGGCGCATGAGCTTTCGCCCTTTGGCCCAATGCCATGTAGTGGAATTTGCGTGTTTTCACAAGCTGTTCTTTTCCTCCGTACAAGGTGTTTCACTTGTCTGGTCTCGGAGGGAGTAGCATTCTTCTAGTCTCGCAGAGTTTTGGGCACTCAAAGAGATGGAGTTCAACAGTTTCGTAGGGGTAGTTACATAGCTGCCACTCTGGGGAGTGTTGTGGCTGTATTCACAGATGGCTGATAAGAAACCGTCTGTGTCGCTGTTCGCACGCAACTCCATAGCTACAGTGATGTTCCTCCATTTACCCCTGAGCGTTAGCTCTAGTAAACATTACCTAGAGGCTAGGTGAACTCTGGGAACCGCCCGGTTTCGAACACCGCCCATGTGCTGCAGCTAATCTAACGAGGCCTTCGTAACTCATGCCTACTAGCAACCACCCAAATAAAAAGGTGAGGATAGATGTATTTGTCTCTATAGACTGCTGCTCATGTGTGTTGTAAATGTTAGTTGGATTATCTTCACAGCACTCGAGACACATCCATAAGTGCTCAGATTCCCTTCTCAACATATTCATCAGCGTTGCACGGTTAATAGTGCCAGTCCTATGCTGGTTGACAAGACTTTGTGTGCATCCAGTGTGCTTGGCTGTGCGTTCTTTACTCCCAATTCTCGTATTGTTAGCAGTCTTCCCGAAGCCTCAGAATGTCCTATCTCTCTAAGGGCAATGTCTGCGTGATCCATGAGCCGGCCATCTTCAATTAATGCGGCACCTGCTAGTCTATCAACTCTTTCATTACCAATGACATCTGCATGCCCTGGGACAAATATGAAGGTACGCTCCTCTGTATTCTAGTGAGCCCAGATGTTTACATTTCCAACCCTTCAACACAACATGAATACCCTTGGCTACCTTGCTTCACACAGCCCTGGCTTCCTTGACTCTATATATATCACAGTAAATTTCACACACAACAGACAGCATCACCCATCGAGTGCTGATTGGTCTATAAAATATAAGTCTAGCCCTATTTGCCCAACACGCCTGAAGGGGGAGAACAGTGTCCTTTACTTTACTTGTCTGCCATATTTGACTGGAAGTTTGGAGAAACTCTCAGCTCTGTCTTCATGTAGTTCTGCTCTAATATGTATGCAGCAATATTGGCTGTATTATTTAGCACTTGAAAACTTTTTCATTATTGTATTTCTTCTTTCTCTGTGTTCACCGGCTGTAAGCTCTGGTGGAAAGTTCTTATTGTTCATCCATCTGGACTTTGGCTTTGTGCCAGGACCTAAGTTTTGCACTCCGTTTTACTGGCTAATTTATGTGTAGTTGGTTGTTCCTTGCCGCTCCAACTAGAAGAAAGTCCCCAATTAGTAAACTCCTAGTACATGCTTGTTGGGGAGGCAGTGGGTCCTTTATGTCTGGTAGTCTTAGTTTCAGCTTCACAGCAAACGGGTCACCCCATCTTTGCTCCACTCCTGTGCCAACAGAAAAAAAACACAGAATGTTTATCACAGTCCCTTGTGGAAAGATTGACAGACTGCTGTCTCAGCATATCTAGCATACACACGCATTAAAGCATACAGTAGCCATCCGAAGTGCTAACACAAGCAGTCCGACATTAGAAATGCAGTTCATCATTGATGATAGCAGAAGTCACCAACAGATCAGCAGTTGACCTCGCGATCAATTTTAATCACATACGGGCACCACCAACATTGCGACTACAGGCATCTCGCCATTTTTTAAATCTACAGTTTACACCACCACGTTGGTCACAGTCGAAAAAACATTCCAAATAAAATCCGCAGCTCACAGTGTCACACCATGCATTCAGCTCAGAAGCTGGGCGACAAAACTATATCCAGTCTACAAAGGGAGCAAAAATGCTTCGGCCACTGTCTGGCAGAAGCAAAAAATTTGGCTCGGCTCCAAACAGTGCCCCTGCCTAGCATCCATTTTGACCGAAAGTGGGTCCATTCTTGTTTTCTCTAAAATGAGGCCTAGGAACCCACACAAGGAATTACTGAATTTGAGATACTTCGTAATCAGCTGGCTTTACATTTGAAATGACTTTATATGCTTATCAGTCATAATACTAATTGGTTGTTGTTTTCTTAAAGTTTCTGTTTTGTCTGTATGTTTGAAATAATATTTTTTACCATTTTGTTCAGTCTGCAGCAAAAAATGATGGCCTATACAGAATTAGGATTCCATTGAAAAGCACTTCTGATGTGGGGACATCATATGTGTCTTCTGCTACCAAAGCTGTGAGTTCTGCTATAAATGTATTAGCGCAAATCATTCTTATCTGATTATATGTTATTCAGATGTTACGCAGTTAAAACAGTTTTAGCCATTTTCAAGTTCAGGATATCTCTAGAACAGCAGTTCTCAAACTGGGTTTTGTTGCACCCAAGGTTGCTGTGAGCGTATGCCAGGGGTGCTGTGGCAACAATCAAGAATTGTTCAAAATCTGTTTGAGATCAGTGAAGACAGCAATTTAAAACAGAAATATCATGAAGAAAGCCAAGAAGAGTTAAGGATGCAGGTGTATTCAGAAGACAATGCTGTGGTAGGCGTGCCATGAAATATTTTTTCCCTGACAAGGGTGCCGCTGTGAAAAAAGTTTGAGAACTGCTGCTCTAGAATATGCTGAGATAATGGTGGTCATTAGTTTGTTAAAGACTTTGAAGTTTGTTGCTGATATTTTGGCCTTTTTAGTCCTGAAAAGGGTTTATGTAACTTTATCTATCAGTCTTAGTGATACGGATGTGAAGACTTTATTCCTGACCCAGGGACTGTGTTACAAAGCTCCCCTTCCTCTCTCCTAGCACAGAACCTAGAGGAATAAGCATAAAAGATACTGCAACGTCGTATCTGTGGAGAACTCTTCGCTTGCTTCTGAAAATAGGAATTGAGCACTCATGGTAGTGTCCTGAGTGCTGTGATGTTGATTCCTAATTCAACATTCAACATCTGTAACATTCATCTTTGTAAAGAAGTACCTGGAATGACAACACCAAAAAATGGACAGGACTGTTTTATCATACACTTATTCGTCAACAGAAGACAGAGAAAGATGGCGGGTTTAATGTGCTAGTGCTTCCATTAGTACACCTCCATGACCCTGACGGGTCAAGGGTTATGTTGTGTTATCTGTGAAGAAGCATACTAATATGTAACCATATTACGCTTCAACACAACACAGAGTTGCCGAGATTTGGCTTAGGTTGATAATGTCTCATCTAAGGGGATTTCAGTATGTCGATAGACACTAACCCAAGGCACTGAGGGGGTTAGTTAGTAATAGGGGTACAACTATTGACATATCCTTAGCAAATCTCCATCTCTCCAGATAATTGTGTTATGTTGTGCTGTAGTAAGGTGTGGGCATCACAGCTCTCATCTTTATGTGGATTTGAAGACATTTTTACTGGGCTGGCAGGAAAGTGCCCTAACCACATATCCTTGGTCTTGGTAAAGCATGGCATGTTTATCGAAGTGATAATTTTGAAGGAAAAAAAAACCTATAATGTAGTCAGGCTGTTAACTGCAATGGTACATATACAGGGTCGTTGAAATTAATTGCCTGGAAAATCAATTGTTTGTATAAAGAAAGTTTAATGTGGATATATACATATGCAGTGTTTTAAAATGTTCAGGAAAGTTCAAGTTTTAGACTTAGTACAATTGGAAATGGGTACCATTTGTAGTTCTGATGATGTCTGGATAGTATTCAGTCTTCATCCACATCTTCTGAATTATATCAAGAGTTACAGTTGCACTTCGCCCGGCTCTCTAGCGTAGTTGGCTAAAACGAATTGCACGGTGACCGGGTGACGAACTCCTTGTGGTCCGGGTTCACTCCCGGGGGTAGGCAGAAAAGCCACATTTTCTCCCAGATTTACGGTATTTACAATGGAATCGAGGCCGAAAGGTTGCGATATCCATAATACCGAGCCTAAGGGTTAACAACATGGCTTCTGGATACTAAAACAAACAAACAAACAGTTGCACTTCCTGTGGCGACCCTTTTTTAAGGTGCTGGTTTCTTCTTCTCAGCACCATTTTAAGCCTCAGTTTCACATGAGGGCGCATACAACTAATAATGCTTCTGAAAATTTTAAGACCCCACATGTTTATACCCATTAAATACCTTTTTCATAATATCTCAATTGCTGTGTACTGTAATGACTGAACTTTTTTTTTTTTAAATTAAATCTAAAATTCTTTAGAAAAATTACATTAAACAGTGCATGTGAAATTGTTCCTTGTTTCAGTGTGGGATTGTGGAATCTGGACTTCATGACGAAATCACAGTTAATTTTGACCAGTCAGGAGAAGTGCTTGGGGTCAGCATTCGTGCAAATGTGCCAGCTTGTACAGGGCTGGAGGTACCCGACACAAATTTAACCACATGGAAGACATCAGTAGAGGTCTCAACAACAGTAGCTGGACCTTCGTAAGCATTGTGACCAATTTTTCTGTTTAGTCATATCTTTGTTTCTTTCCAAATGTTTTTACATTTGCCCTTAGAAAGGAAGTTAGCATGTTGCGCTGTGGTTTACAGCCAGGCTGCAATATCTGCACCTTTTGGCCTAACACATCCAGTTTCAGGAAACTGCTAATTAGTCAACTTTTACATGTTTGTCTCACAGCGGAGCTGTTGTATCTGACAGGAAAATGGGCGAAGGGGGGTCTCTGGCACTAAAACTAGAGGCTTTGGTCAGGTGAGGATTGTCAGCACGGGAATGCCGCTTACCTAGTAGAATAAAAATTTTGATTTCAAACCTCTGGTGGTCTAGCAGCTAGACGCTCGCCTGCGAAGGTTGTGGGTTCGGTTCCTGAAGAGGGCCTGATTTTTTTCAGAAATGACTTTGGCTCCCAGGTCGACCCAGCCAGGTACCAGTTAGTGGGTGCCAGGTACAGTCCTGGTGACTAAAGGCGGCTGGCATGATGCTGACCACATCACCCACCAAGTGCAGTTTGGTCTATAAAATATAGGTCTAGCCCTATATACCCAATACACCTGAAAGATGTGGAAAAGGGTCTTATTCTTGTTACTTTAGGAGTAAACTCTGAGGAAAAAATCTGGAGCTGGAATCCTAAAGGCGGTTCAGCCGTATTTACACTGCTGCTCTAGCAATTCCTGCAACGTCTTCTGCGCCAAGCTGTGTTAGCATTTGCAGAGGAGGGGGGGTATATGCTGCCTGGGCAACCGCCTGTACTTCAGTTCAACCTGCCCAGGCCAGGAGAGGTTACTCTAGCATCACTTAATGGCTTCGATTTGATTGTTATGGGGCAGTTTGTCTTGTCGTTTTTAGTAAAACTAACCTCTGCCATAATCAGCAACTGGCATTCTTACCTGGTTGTCTTTCATGTTTATGGCAACCACCTACAGACAGCAAAAACACTTATAAAAGCTATAAACAAAGATACTTGGCTGAACAGATGGGCCATGGGAGATACTGAAAGAGAGGTTTATTATAGACACATGGCTAGCCCTGATCCTAACGACAGCATTAACCATTTAACAAGAACGGACCAGGCCACCATCTTCAGACTCAGGACACAACATACTCCACTCAGTGGACATCTAAACAGAATACAGCCACAACACTCCCCAGAGTGCCAGCTATGTAACTACCCGTACAAAACTGTTGACCATCATCTCTTTGAGTGCCCAAAACTCAATGAGACTAGAAGAATGCTACTCCCTCCGAGACCAGACAGATGGAACACCTTGTGCGGAGGAAAAGAACAGCTTGTGAAAACACGTAAATTCCACTACATGGCATTGGGCCAAAGGGTGAAAGCTCACACGCTGCTGGATTAATAACAACAATAACCTGGTTGTCGTAAGTTTCAATCCCCATTGAGAAAGATCTTCAGATTTGTCAGGGTCACCAGGGATTGACCATAAATCGAAGAAATTTCAGTAAATGTTGAAATATTTTTCATTCATTACTTTTATGAAATTGATCATTTTTACAAATGATGGAAGGATCAATTGATTTCCACTGTGAAAAGCAGTATTTGTTTTTTGGTTCTTACTAATTCCTACAGGAATGAAAAATTCTGTAATCTGTATTTTATCTATTCATCTATTATCATATCTGCTCACAGACAGACAGCTTCTGTGAGTCATTTCAGAAAAGAAATAGTTGTGAATAAAGTTTCACTGCAATCAGGTGTTGTTGAGGATGAGTGAACAGGTCTTGTTTTATGGTACACTGTATGGAGCACGGTAACAAATTCCTAATACACCCAGTAGGGATGCTAGGCCACTGCAACATTGATGGGAAATAAAAGAGCAGACTGCTTAGCCAAAACTGGGTCAGTACAGAACAGCCGATATAGGATGCACTTAAGAGGAAAATAACACCCAAATCAAGGCAGCCATTATAGCTCAAAGACCCAGTCAACCTCCTCCCACAAAAAAAAACAGACCATTTGTTTAGACTGCAAGTTGGACACAACAGACTCTGCAGCCATGTTTGCAGAAAATTCAAAACTGGGAACTCGGAACTTTGCCCGAGTGGACCGCCCTGGCACCCCCAGAATGCTGAACATGTGCTGCAGACATGCTTCTCTGAATGCAGTTAGAGAGATCCTAGGTCCGTCCAATAAGCATTTTGGGGAATCCAAGCTTTATTGGTCAGTGGAGGACATGCATAGCACCACAGCCTTCATCAGAGTCCTAAAGCCTTCTCATCTGAAATTTTGGGCTGCGTTGTATCGAGGCATGGTGTCCGCCTCGAGTGCTAGAGGTTCCGAGTTCACTCCCCCGTAAGAGCTGGGATTTTTTTCACGTGGACTTGAACTTCTAGTAATTCCCCTGGTCTCTGGGTAGTGGGATTGGACACCCGTGTGCGTTGTTGTGCACTTAAAAATTCCCTCGGCACTTGTGAATCGAAAAGAGTAGCCTAACGGCGCTGCCCGGGCACAATTTGGAGTTAACAATCTACCTAAAGTATTTCAGGATCCTCGCCGGTGCTACAAAACCTGTGCACTGTGCTGAGCTTCTTCGGACAGACTTGAGTTAGAAACAGAATGGAGCACTTATGAGTTACTACCTGTGTGCCACGATCTGGATCCGTTGTTCAAACTTCACACCTTAAACCTGAAATTCACCTGCGAGAATAATATAAACAAGAAGATAAACCCAATGGCCACTGAAGTTCTGCTAAGTGGAGAAAACATTAACGAATACAACAGTGCAGGTCACAGGCATGTAACTCCTACCTACTAGCTTCAACCCATACACAGCTGAGGATGGATATGTTTGTCATACACATATTAACGTAAAATTTCAGTCGTTGGCAAAACTGATGTCATTATGAATCAGATGTGTCTTCACTGTCCACCAGTGGAATGTGTCTTGTGAGCTAGTTAATTGTCACCTCCTTGAGTACTTTGGCTGCCAGTTTGTATCATAAGAGATCATCCAGATCTTCTGCACCATGCATCTTCATCATGTGCCATATAGCAATTGTAGGCTGTCATGTTTCGCCATCACACACGATCACCAGAATCCGGGATCAATTTTGGGTTTTTGTCTCGCCCCATCAATTTGGCCAGGCCATCCAGGTATTTGTCTCTGTGCCTCCCTCTTGCTCTCTTTCCATCATTCTTGCCAGTTGTTACAAAGTCGTTTTCTTCTCATAACATGTCCAAAAAAATAATGACTTTATATGTCTGATTGTTTTAATAAGTTTACGACTTTCCTCTATCTCGGTGAGGACTACTGTTTTTTTTTTTTATATCCTTCCATGATATTCTTTGCATTTTTCTCAGAAACCACATCTCTGCTACGAGTAAATGTTTTTCAGCATTTTTTACTTATTATCCATGTTTCACATGCATGCAACAAAGGTTCTGCATAGCACTTTCACAAATTTTTTCTCACTGCAAGTGACATCTTTTTGTTATTGAGAATCTTTGCCCGGCTCTCTAGCGTAGTTGGCTAAACCGGACTGTGTGGTGACCGGGTGACGAACTCCTTGTGGTCCTGGTTCACGCCCGGGGGTAGGCAGAAAAGCCACATTTCTCCCAGATTTATGGTATTTATCATGGAATCAAGGCAGAAGGGTTGCGATATCCATAATACCGCGCCTAAGGGTTAACAACTCATGGCTTCTGAATACTTAAAAAAAAAATTTGAGAATTTTTTACATCTTACTAAAGGCTACGTTTTCGTTTTCCATGGGGATTCTTGTTCTAATTTTTGCAAGGCATCTTGCATCTGATGTTATGATTGCTCTAGGATACTTGTATCTATTAACTTGCTTAAGAATGTTGCCATTTGCGAGTATTTCACACTTTGGCATTTCTTTCTTCTTGGTGTGATGACCATAATTTATGTTTCCTCACAGTTTAATTCCAAACCTAGTTTCTCACTGTGAACTATCACTACATCCAGCAAACACTGTAATCTTCTTCACTGTATGCAATTAACACTGTATCATCTGCATATCTTATATTGCTGATATTACATCCTCCCACATAAATTCCCTTCGTGTCTTTCAGATGTCGCATAATAGTTTCACTATATAAGGAAGAAAGATCTTTAGACATTACACATCCCTGTTGCACACCTCTCTTGACTGTTTGGTACAATCCTACTTCATTATTGATTCTTATAGCAGCATGCTGTTTCCCGTATATTTTCTTAATCAGTCTCTTTCCCATCAGTTTGTAAATCTGTAAGCATTTTTGTCATGTCTTTTATCTTACTATGTTAAAAGCTTTTGTATAATCAATAAAGCAGAGATCATGATCTTTATTTACTTCTATTGAACATTCTAATATTGTTCTCAGGAGGTAAACAGCTTTTGTTGTACTCTTGCCTTCTACAAGCCCACATTGCTCTACCCCTATTTCTGGTTGTATTTTCTTCCTAATCCTTTGCAGGATGATTCTTAGCAAAATTGTTTTGATGTGACTCAGGATGTTAACTGTACAATGCTGATCACATTCTAAGGCCCCTGGCTTCTTTAGGATTTCAATAAACATAGACCTACATAAGTCATTTTTTATATCTCCAGTGTCATTTATTGTGTACAATGACATGGTGACCTGGTCTAATCCGCATTCTTCTAACGCATTGATCATTTCACTTGTGGTGTTGTTGTCTGAACCTGAAGTCTTTCCACTTTTAATATAATTAAGCGTTTTCTGAACTTTCATCTTCAAAATTGGTGGTCCTACGTTGTTATTAATAATATCAAAATGTTCTTCATGAAAGTCACCGTAATGATCTGTTACATACACTGACCATGCATCTAATATCTCCTCTGGTCATTAGGATGATATCTTCTTTGGTTTTTTTTTTTTTGTATAGTATCCCTAAATAAAACATGGGTTCTCAGCTAACTTTTGTTGAATCTGCCTTTGTTTGCCATTTTGAGGAACTTATCCTATGTCCTCCCCATCTTATTCACTTGACTCCAGTTCTCTTCTCTGAGTGATTTAGTATCCATTTATTTCTTTTTTCCTAGGGGTTCTAGTGCAAGAACATTCTTGCTATGTTATTAGATTTTCTTAGTGTGTGTCCTATCCAGCTTCATCTTCTTTTCCTCACCTCTTTTGAAGATGTACTTTAATAACTATCAATAGAACATTTAAGCATGTATTGTTTGTCATCTTTCCCCATTAGACTTGATACACAGACTGTTGTCTTTCTTCATTAGACTTGATACACAGACTGTTATCTTTCCTCTTTAGACTTGATACACAAACTGTTATCTTTCCTATTTTGACCTGATACAGAGACTGTTATCTTTCCTCTTTAGACCTGATACGCAGACTTACATTGAGAAGATGAAGCGTGATGAGCAAGAAAAGTTGAAGAACCAAGATGGAGACAACCGCTCCTTTCTGAGCAAATATGTGAGTACATTTTTGTTAGATTATTTTTAGTTTTTCAGAGTGTGGCGTGCAGTCTCTGCTGGAAATGCTTTTAATTCAATGATTTTAGCATTACTGTAAAATTATCTATTGTGTTTCCTGTTGTCTGGAGAATTTATGAAGGGCAGATGTGTTTCTTTACTTTATTACTAACATCACTTTGATGTCTTTTATCTTGTAACTTTATATTTTTAAATTTATATCGGCCATTTAATCTTTTCCCTTCGTCATAATTAAGTGAGAGACATCCCATGTCATCTAAATATAATCAAATGTATGTTTAAATACCAGTAACACAATGGAATGGTGGATGCTGACACAATTAGACACTGTCTAAAAATCATCCATGGCGAAATTATTAAAATAGAAATAGTTGAGAAATGTAAAATAATATTTTAAGCTCTATCAGCTAACTGTGTTTGGCATAAACCCACCCCCCCCCCCCTTTCACCAATCACATCTCTCTCTCCGAAGAATTGAAAAATTATCACCTGGCGAAGTCATATCTCCCTCTCCGAAGGACTGAAAAATCATCCATGGCGAAATTATTAAAATAGAAATAGTTAAGAAATGAGAACTTTAAAATAATTTTTTAAGCTCTCTCAGCTAAATGTGTCCAGCATAACACACCCCCCCCCCCCCTCCCCCTATCATATCTTCCTCTCCGAAGGATTGAAAAACATCACCTGGCGAAATAATTAGAAGAGAAAGAGTTAAGAAATTAGAACTTTAAAATAACATTTTAAGCTCTCTCAGCTAACTGTGTCTGGCCTAACCCCCCCCCCCCCCCCCCCCCCCCCCCCCCCCAATCATATCATCCTCTCCGAAGGATGGGAAAGTCACAGTGTAATGAAATAGTGTAACTAATTGAGCTTGGCATCCGTGTCCACCCAGACTTAAATAGGTAGCATTAACTTGTACAGAGAAGTAAATGTAGCCAGTGTAACAGCTACCACATCACCCATCCAGTACCAGTACTACTGCAACCACTACCACCACCACCATCACAACAACAACAACAAAAACGGTCACTACAGTCTGTGTAGGTCGGTGTAGAAAAGAGGAGTTAGCGTCGCAAGCTGTCGCCACAGACTATTTAGTTTAAATTTGCCCCCGAAATAGGAAAAAATAACTTCATCGTGTAACCAGTGATGGAACCCACAGTGAAAAGTACACTATACTCACGAATAGCGGAGAAAAATACCCCGCATCCGTCATTTCTCCCTCTCCGAGGGAACGGTTTTTAACTGACCTTGGCATCTGTGTCCACCCAAACTAAACTGGACTGTAAGCTATTCTGTCATCGCCGAATAGTTATTGATTGAGAAGCGTCGCGGAGAGGCTAATTAGGACCTAACTGAAATTGGATGTCTTTGGGCGAAAGGAACAGATATCGCAGCCTAGCTGTAAACCACAACACAACATGGCAACCACCCTTTTAAGGGAAAAAGAACAATTATCACCCAGCAGGGAATCGAACACCGGTCACCCACATGAAGGATGACATACTTACAACTATACTACTAACGAGTTTTAGGTCAGATATCGCAGCCTAGCTGAAGACCACAACACAACGTGCCAACGACCCTCTCGAGGGCGAACAAAGATTACCCGTGACATGACCATTGAGCATCACGTCGCCGCTGTAAGCCCCAAAACCCAAAAAGGCGTAGATATCGCAGCCTAGCCATAAACCACAACACGACGTGCCAGCCGCCCAGTTAAGGGCTAGATAAAATTATATCACCTAGCGGGGAATCAAACGCGGGTCACCGCATGATAGGCAGAAGAGCTACCAACTACGCTACCAAACACTCAATCAGAGAGTGGAAATGAAATTATATAATAATGCAAAGTTCAATAAGAGCTCAGCAGTCAAATATGGCCAATCAATTAAAAACAAATCTGGGCCGGCTATGAATAAATAATGATTTGACCATTGCTGGAGCTACGTCGTTCATGGTTTGTGCGATTTTCTGACAAAAAAATCACACTTTGAGTCAAAGGCAACGTTGTGTGCAAATTTGAAAGCAATCGGTTCAGTAGTTTCGAGTTTTTAAATAACATCGGAAAATTATCATTTTTATTATGTGTGTGTGTGTGTGTGTGTGCGTGCGTGCGTGCGCGCGCGCGTGTGTTTTTTTTGTTTGTTTTTTAATGAGAGTACAGATTTTGTGTCTGGTAATACTCTTAGTCTTTACTACCTGTAAGCCCAGTGTTCATATTATCTTCACTGCTAAATGAATTTAATATGCATACTGTGATAAATGTATAGCTGTGTGAAGGATGAGTAATTGAAAGGGTAAAGTGCAGCAAAGGCCTGTGTGCCCAATGTGTGGTTCATCGAAAATAATTATTCTTTCCTGTCCCCTATTCCCCCCCCCCCTCTCCCTTTTTTTTTTCCTTGCCAGTTTTTGTGTGTCTTCTTGTTAGTGTTCACCAGCTGTAAACTCAGGTGGACAAGTCTGATTGATTGTCCACCTCTTGACTTTGGTCTTGTTCTAGAACTTTGAGGGGGTTTTTTTTTTTGCGTGGACGTTCATTTTACAGATCTAGCTTGTTTCTATGCAGATTGTTGGTTTCCCAGTTCTTGGACTGATGCAGGCAGGCAGACTACAGAGGAAACATCCCGAGTCAGTCACCTCTTAATAACATGCACATTGGGGGGTAGGCAGTAGGTCTGTCACACCCCCCCCCTGCCCCCTCCCTTTCCACCCAGCCCCTTTTTTCTCCTCCTTCTGTTTTCTTACATGTGATCACTCAGTGATCTCATATATACTCATATTTGTTGTTAATTCACCATCATCATCCTGTGTGCTTTGCTCTGTGGACAAATTCCTAACTGGTCTTCACATAATTGCATCACGTAACCTAGGTAAACACTCTGTGCCAGATTGTTTTTTAGAGAAACGGTCAAATGAACACCAGGAGAGACAGATAAATAATTTCATTAATAAATAGTTTCCTTCAAACATGGCTTCTGAAATGTACATGTGTGCTGTCAGTCAAATCCGGCATAGGTCTTCTTCCATACCATAATGCCAAACTGTCCAAAATCTTTTCTTTTGGTCTTCCTCTGCCTGTTTTCCTCTCCAACTTTCAGATTGACGCAATGTCCTCCAACTTTTCCCTTTCTAATGGTATGCTCAAAGAATGTAGATTTCTTGCTTATTATGTGGGTAATTAGTTCTCTTGGTTAGTAAACCCTTTTCAGCACTCTTCCTTATGCTTTTTTTAAAATTTGCCCGTGGTGTTGAACCAATGTGTGTACACACGAATATTATTTCAGTATATTAATAGGTCAAGACAGTTCATCATCAGTCAGCAGCTCCTTTACTGAATGTCACTGACTTCATGGCATGCTTGAAAGGCACTCTTTCTCCAGCCCTGTGGCTTTTTAGCCAGTGCATCTTTGTTGTCATGTATCCACCTTCGCGGAGGTCGTCCTCTGTGTGTTTTTTTTCCCTCAGAAACTACACCCTCCATCCCCATTCTCTACAGGCCACTATGATGTTTAACATGACCAAGTGACCCCAGCTTTCGGGACATGGCGCTGTTGATGAGCAAGTTATCTTTGATGTTCAGTTCATGTAGTCAGCTAGTAGGGGTACATGAAGAGCAGGCACAGTTTAAAGGAACTTTAAAAACAAAAATTAATTAAAAAAATTACCTTGGCTTCCATGTTAACCCAGCCTAAGATAGGTACCAGGTAAAGTCATGGGAAGTAAAGGCAGCCATTGTGATTTTGACCACATCACTTACCAAGTGTCAATTAGTCTATAAAATATTACTCTACCACTATATACTCAATACCCGGAAAGGCTAACCCGGTTAACAAATGCCCGCAGAAGTCGGATGTGTTAGCCGAAAGGTGCAAAAATCGCAGCCATGCTGTAAACGGACACAACGCAGTTACATCTTTGGATGAATGCAGAAGAAGAAGAAGATATACTCAATACACCTATGGGGCGTGGAAAAGGGTCCTTAATTTAACATGTATGAAATACTGCTTATAAAATAATGAAGAATGCATATTCAGCGATACACAATCAGTATAACTTTAATGAGCATTTTTATATGTCAATAAATATTCACCAGATGCATACATAAAATGAATAAATATCTATGTGTTATCGGTGCAGTAATTATACGTCTATATAGTATATGAAGGAAACTTGGTTAAGAGCTTGCCTTATATAAGACCGCTGAATTTCTTTTTCACATTCTTATGTTTGTGAATGAATCAAGAATTGTAAAGTTACTTAATCACTGATGGTCTTCATGGTCTGCCATATTTCCTCTGTTAACTGTTTATAAGTCTGTAGTCTTATAACACTACTGTGTCCTTAGGACACTACTTCTTTCTATGAGTGCTGATCAATACACGTTCTGTCACTTGATTAACTGTGTCCTTAGGTCACTTCAGTTGGTTTGATCAGGCCTTTCTATTTTTCTGATTATCATCACTGAACTTTATTTTTACTTTTAGCCTGGCTAGCTAGCTAACATTTGGATCCAAGTCTCTTCCTCTTCGCTTGTGCTGCTAGACTGGTTATAAATATTCCATAAAAATGATTCTCTGTCTTCTCTTTTGTCTCCTGTCTGATATATCCCCAGTTAAGGCTAGTCGGTCAGCATTCTGCTGCATTTTGAATTGTAAACTGTTGTTAAAATCAATGCTGCCAAATTGCTTGCAGCTCATTTCAAACTCAGGTATGTCAAGATTGTGAAACTGCATTCACAAACCCAAAGCCACTAGTGAAGGTTGCCTCTTTGTATATACTATTAAATCGACTTCTCTGTTACATCCTGTGTCAGCTGCTTGATTTCCAATTCTGCATTGACATAACCTCACATTTCTACACTTTCTGCCAGGGGTTATATGTCCGGTCCAGCAGGCAGCCATTAGCCCTTATGAACCACGGTGCTGCGCCACTGGTTTTAAGAGTGGCAGTATCTGCCACACAGTACATGAAAACATT